CTTTCTTTCAGATTTATTTCTTTTATCTATTTGGTAGATCAGACAATTGAACATCGCCCAGCTTTCAGTGATTGGGGGACTTTTGGCTCCTTAAATTTATCCAGGATTTGTGTCCAGCTTTAACAAGTAATTAGAATAATAATATTAATGTGTCATTGATAATGACCTTTCTCCTATTCCATTACAGAGGTCCAACTTGTTTTTCTACCTTTTTTTCTTGTTCTTTTGCTTTTACCATTCCATACAATTGAAAATTTACTTCCTTTTATATATATATATACCTTGTAATGTACCACGAGCTAGCTTTGCAACTCTATAAAATAACCATCTCAGCCTCTCTTTCTCCAGCTTCCTCCTGCGCTCTCTCCATTATATATCTTCTTCCTCATCTGCACTATATCTTCTTCGGTCATCTATAAGTTTTCTTCTAATCAGCTGCAATGTTAGGTGCAGATAATAAGTTACCGATGGTACGTACGTATGTACATGATGATGATAGAACAAAGATATATTTATATATGTTTATGATATACGGATTATGGTGGTTTTTAGAAAGATTTTGTAAGGATTTTCTTGGTATATATTGATTAATTATACTAACAGTTTGAGTTCGTTGTAATTTGCGCAGAGAAAGGAGGAGGAAGAAGGAAGTGAAGCCATTAATGAACATGGAGATGAATGGACAATGGATGGCTCTGTGGACTTCAAGAGTAGGCCTGCAAGGAGAGGAAAGAGTGGGGGATGGTTGGCTGCATCTCTTGTGCTTGGTAAAAAAATCCCTCTCTCTCTCTACAAAAATTTAGATCAAGATACCTTTAATATACAGCTTATTTATGTATGTATATATATGTATATGAATCAAAAGCTGATCATGACAATCTTTCTTGAATAAGATAGTAAGAATAGCCCGATAAGTTCTATTTTTGAAGAAATTATTACATCAAGATAGTGGATGTAGCGTTGCATGTATCTACAAATTCGAAATCACACGTGACCACAACTGTATAATATTTTTTAATAAAATTTAAGCATATAAAATTGCATCTACCTTTGTAGTGCAGATTGATGAACCCACCTAGAGTTATAATCGTCATCCATGCACGCCTAATAATTTCTTTAATTCCAGATGCAATATCATGAAATAAAAAAATATGAACTAAACATCTTTCTTTTCTTTTATAGAACTTCTCACATAAAAATAAATAAATAAATATTTTAGGAAAATTAAATCTATGAGTTGAACATATGATCTACAAATGTAAAGAAACATAAAATTAAAAAAAAAACATGCACGCCTAATAATTTCTTTAATTCCAGATGCAATATCATGAAATAAAAAAATATGAACTAAACATCTTTCTTTTCTTTTATAGAACTTCTCACATAAAAATAAATAAATAAATATTTTAGGAAAATTAAATCTATGAGTTGAACATATGATCTACAAATGTAAAGAAACATAAAATTAAAAAAAAAAAGGATTTGTTAGAAAAAATATTGATGTTTTCAACTTTTTTTTTTTTTTAATCTTTTGATGTTGAAAGAACAGATCATAAATTGCAGAGGGGCTTTTGACCAACCTTCAAAACTTTTTCTATGCAACACAGCTTCATAGGCTTTGTTTACCTTTCCCTTTCATGATATCATTGTCAATACTTTCCCTTAAATTTATTTATTTTATGATAGGCTGCATACTTTATCAAACTGCTTATCCATGGTGATATGAATTTGGGAGTACTGATGTTATCTCTTACCTAACAAAGTGCTCATGTTCAAAGCTTGGAAGGCCTAATTGTAGGGGAACAATGGCTTAATTTGGATTTATATGAATAATGAAATATATAAAATTGTTTTTAAAAAATATAAATTTTGAATATATTTTTTCACATAAATTTCTGATTTTGGCATAAAATACTAAAAAAATGAAAAAAAAAAATTACTAAAAATTAGGAAAAGAAAAAAAAAATTTAAAATAATATTGATGAAATATAGAGACTAGATAAGATATAAAAGTTACAAAGATAATTTATTTTATTACAACAAAATGAATAATGACATATCTATCAAATGAAAAATAAAAGAATTTGTATATAAGATCGATATATCACAAAATTTATGAATTTATTTTAAAAATATATATAACATATAAATAAATAATTAAAGTTTTTATTATAGTCATCTCAAAATAAATTCAACAGATTTAAAGCTAATCTTAGTATAAAAAAATATTTTAATTTCATAAATCTCAAAATTATTAAATTTGTTTTAAGATAAATATAATATATAAATTATCAATTAAAATTTTTTATTATAATCACCTTAAAATAAATGCGATAAATTGCATCAAAATATGATGCAATTCCTTTCTTTCAAAAATGCACTATAAAAAAAATAAATTGAAACATGAAATTAAAGAATTATTTCTTAATAAAATACGATCATGATTTCAAAAATGTAATTAAAATAAAAATTTTTTTGTCCCGTGCATAAATAAACAATACGATAAGGAAGCGACGACTATGTCTTATACGCATGATTAATGTTTAACTAAAGTTACCAAAAAACCTTAGCGAATTGTAAATTCTGCAAATAAACCAAAAAATCATGCAAGCATATATAAATTATTTTGTTTATAACTTACTGACACATAAATATATATGCTAGCCACATTTGTTAAAAACTAGATTTAATGTTCGGCTAGGAGTGTAAACTAAGACAAGCCATATTATAGCTGAGACTCAGGCTGAGCTCAATAATGGCCGAAATGTAGAGTTCAAAATCCGACATGATGGCCTAACGATTCAACGCACCAAGAGCTAACCCAAGACTCAACTCAATCAAATTCATGAGCCGGTTCATTAAAAATAAAAATAAAATAGTCGAATAAACTATATTAAAAATTTCGCCTTAAATGCCAACATCAAAACCTATCAGGTACATTCATTAGAATGACGAGAGTCAACACCACTTTTTTGATAGAAAACATTTTTATATTGTAAATAAATATAATAAATATTTTATTTTAAAAAAACTTTTATAGTAATTGTAAATTTAGTCAAATTCTTATCTTCAATATATATAATATAAATATATATTTATATATATATATATATATAGATATATATTATTACCTCAATTGATCATAATTTTCCTAATGAAAATTGCTCAAGTGCAGAGGCTTTTATAATTGCTAGAACTAAATGACAAGGTATTATGAAACATAGGACATTGTATATTTTTAAAATATTATAATATAAACACACACATAGCAATTGATATTGCATAAAAATTATATTAATAAATAAATAAGAAATGAATTTTATAACAATAAGAAATTTGTTGAAAATTTAATAAATATATTTAATTTAATTGGAAGGATAACTTCCTATGATACAATAGACTATTAGTTTATATTTAAAATCTAATTCTTTGGTAAAAGAAATTTATGATAATATAATAAAAATAATAGAAAAATAGGGCAGAATCGATAAATATAATGTATATTAAAAACCTTTTAAGTTATTTAAATAATATATTTTAAAATAAAAGAAATATTATAACTTAGATTTTTTATCATCATAAAATTAAAATGAATAACATCAACAAATTTTACTTTATTGAACGCTTGTGGGTGTTGCCTGAATTAAAAATAGAAATTAGTTATGTAATAATGCAGCTCATCTTGATCTGCTGGTTCGGAGTTTTGACTATAAATCAAAAGATCTTGAATTTGAAGCTTGAGTATATAATATATGTGTGAGTTTATCTTAATTGACTCAAAAGTCTAAAAAAAAAAAGAAGTCATTATTCTATCATTGAATGCCATATAATGATTGCGATGACCATCTTAAATTAATTTAGAGCGAGAAATTCATGGCCGATTTCACTTAATAAACTTTAGTGGAAGAACTTGTATACCCTGAGCACTGCCTCACCCCTTTACTGCTTCTTAGAGCAGCTTTCTAGCATAACAATTTTAATTTTTTTACTAAAAAACTGTTTTAAGAAGCAGTGAGAAAACCTTTTCAAATGAAGTCTTAATTTGATATTTAACTGTACATCTAGTTTCTTAATTCTCTAATAATGTGTGTGCATATATATATTAAAAAAATTGTAAGGGGATGAATTAATTATGAGATTATTCTTAATATGTATGTGAATTTTTGTATATAGTGAACCAAGGGCTGGCTACTTTAGCATTCTTTGGTGTGGGAGTGAACTTGGTTATATTCTTGACGAGGGTGCTTCAACAAGACAATGCAGCTGCGGCCAACAATGTTAGCAAATGGACTGGCACAGTCTACCTCTTCTCTCTCATTGGTGCCTTTCTTAGCGACTCCTACTGGGGAAGATACAAGACTTGTGCAATCTTTCAGATCATCTTTGTAGTGGTATGTATTTATTACATTCATATGAATTGAGATATATGTTGTAATACAAGAATATAGGTATATTTGTGTATTCACATGACTTCTTAGTGAATAAAATTCTAATTTAAATTTAATAAAGAAAGATTATTTCTAACATCTTCTAGCCAAGTCTTTTTAGGTCTACCTCTACCTTTCTTCACATAAGCCAAATCTAATATATCTATTTTCATAATCGGGTCATCGAAAGGCCGTCATTTTATATGACCAAACCATCTAAGGCGACTCTCTCTAATCTTATATTCCACTTGAGCTACTTCAACCTTTTCACTTATATGCTTATTTCTTATATTGTCTCTAAGAGTAAAGCCACTAATCCACCTAAGTATCCTCATCTCTACAACACTTAGACTTTGTTTGGGATGACTTTCTTAATGCTTCCTAAGCAATGTTTGAGTAAAAAAAATTTAATTTTTGTACTAGAAATCTGCTTTAAGAAGCAATAAGAAAGCCGTCCCAAACGAAGCCTCAGTTTAATATTATGCTTTTCTTTTATTGCACCATAAAGCATTGCAAGTCTCAACAACATTTTATAGAATTTCCCCTTAAGTTTGAGGGGGACTTTTCTAGCACACAACAAGCTGATGCATTCCTCCACTTCAACCATCCAACATGAATTTTGCTAATAATATCCCCATCTATTTCAAGCTTCTCTAAATTAATTAAATTTTTTTTTTAATGACAGGGATTGGTGATGTTGTCATTAACTTCAAGCTTGTTCTTACTAAAGCCATCTGGGTGTGGAGATGGACATACATTTTGCGAGCCACACTCAGGTTTCAAAGTTGGGCTATTCTACCTATCAGTATACCTTGTTGCTTTAGGCAATGGAGGTTACCAACCAAACATAGCCACCTTTGGAGCTGACCAATTTGACGAGCAGGATCGAAGGGAAGCTCATTCAAAAATCTCCTTCTTCAGTTACTTCTACCTTGCCCTCAACCTTGGTTCCCTCTTCTCCAACACCTTCCTCGGATACTTTCAGAACAATGGCTCCTGGGCATTAGGTTTTTGGGCTTCTGCAGCATCCGCCGTGGTAGCTCTACTGCTCTTCCTTGCTGGTACCCGGCAGTATCGCCATTTTCATCCAAGTGGAAACCCTCTTTCCAGGGTGAGTCAAGTGATTGTAGCTGCGTCCAGGAAATGGGATGCTGATAAGCCATCCAGTTCGAAGGAGTTGCATGAACTTGGATCGAAGGAATTTGCTTCTACTGGAAGTAGGAAGTTGCTTCACACTGAAGGATTCAAGTAAGTTTCTTTTCCTTCACTTTCCCTCATTCTATACAATCACTTCAGTCCAGCTTTGCAATACTATGTTGTCTGATAATAAATCTTTCATTCTGATAGGTTCTTGGATAGAGCAGCCATCATTCAAGCCAAAGATAAGCCCACCCTGCAAAGCCACCCCTGGCACCTCTGCACAGTGACTCAAGTTGAGGAATTGAAGTGTGTGCTCCGTCTCCTCCCTATCTGGCTCTGCACTATCCTCTACTCTGTTGTGTTCACACAAATGGCCTCCCTCTTTGTGGAACAGGGAGCAGTCATGGAAACAAACATAGGCTCCTTCCAAATCCCCCCTGCAAGCATGTCAGCATTTGATATTCTAAGTGTAGCACTGTTCGTCTTCCTTTATCGCCGTGTTCTTCATCCCTTCGCTTGCAGACTCACCGGCAACAGCAGCGGACCCACTGAGCTGCAAAGGATGGGCGTTGGCCTAGTCATAGCCATCATAGCCATGATCTCTGCGGGCACCGTCGAAATTTATCGTCTTAAGCATGTCTGTAAGGCCTGCATCAACGAAGAAAGCTCAATGAGCATATTGTGGCAAATCCCACAGTATATGCTCATTGGAGCATCAGAGGTGTTCATGTACGTAGGACAGCTCGAGTTTTTCAATAGCCAGACTCCAGATGGACTAAAGAGCTTTGGAAGTGCACTATGCATGACCTCCATCTCCTTCGGCAACTATGTGAGTAGCTTGCTTGTGACAATTCTGATGGATATCACGAAGAGAGGGGGGAAGCCGGGGTGGATACCTGATAACTTGAACAAAGGGCACATGGATAGGTTCTACTATCTACTTGCATTACTGACTGCTGCAGACTTAGTACTGTATATAATCTGTGCAAAATGGTACAAGAGCATCAAGGTTGAAGGGATGGAAGAGGAAGGTAATGATGAAGATGAGATTGATGACATCAAGATTGATGATTTGAAAGTTTCTGTGGTCTGAGATAAACAATCCAGTTATTGGGTTGAGAATTTATGAGATTCACATTAACTCGAATTTCCTTGCTTTTGCTTACCTTGATTGCAAGAGTTAATGATTTGGTAAGCCCAGGTTTGGTGGAATGCCGCACACGACACGGGGCGGTGGAGCTATTTATATATGTATGTAGAAATTGAAGAGAGAAATTATGACTTGTTCCAAGGTGGAAAGGTCCCTAATATTAAAGAGAACAAGCTGATAAAGAATCTTTGGAACCTTGATAAAATGTGTTATGCATGTACATGTTAAACTGCTTGCCAGCAGGAACAATCAAGGGATGGCAAATTTGGAATAATATGACTTTAGAAAAAAACTTGTATTTGCTTCTAGAGATGTAGTGCCTTTTGGCTTCAATTTATTTTGGGGTGAATAAGGGATTGGGCGGCTTGCAAAAATATTTCTATGATGCAACTCATCTTGATCTATTGGTTGGGTATTTTGCCCAACAATTTGCCATTAACTCATCATCTAGTGCATACTCAGTTAAATCTAACAATGTGATTAGAGATATTGTCGTAGATAGAGGCCAATGTGGCAAGAGTATACTTGTATAGGTTGAGAGGTAAAGGAGCTTTTGGAGAAAGGATCTAATGATGTGCATGTCTCAAATGAGGAGATGGAGAAAAGAAAAGTATAGTCTTATAAAAAATTACTTCGATAGAAGTATACAGTCTCCCTATATGAAGATCATAACACCAATAACCTTTATGAGGGTGAAAGTACTTAAGAAAGATGCATAAAAAACACAATAAGAGAGTTTGACATACAAGTAAAATGCACGAACAAAGCAATTGCATCCAAAAACTAATACTGTAAGGAGAAAATAACCAGACAAGGGCAAAGAGTGTATATGGATGAGAACTGGTCAACAAGAGGGTATAGGATGTTATTAATGAAATTTCAAGTGATCAAACCAACATACATGCAAAACTAATGAGGAACATTCATGTGAAACAACAAGTTCCTTGCATTATTAAGAAGGTGGCAACTTTCTCATCTAACTACAACATTCTATGAAGATGTATATAGGTAAGATGTTGGAAGAAAAATATGATTGGTAAAAGTAAAATGGGGATTGCATAAATTATAAATTATTAGCATGTCATATTTGAGTAAGGTAGAAAATTTAAATTTTATTGAAAAAAACATTGAAATATATGAATGACTTCTGTGCAACATCTAATCAAGTAAACCCCTGTCCCTGTAACCAGATAAAATCATCAGTAAATGTGATAACATAGCGAAAGGCCAAGTAAGAAAGAATAGATCTAGGAACCCAAATGTCTTAGTAAACTAATTAAAAATGACATGAAATACAACTGGTCGTAGAAAATGAAAAGGAAATGCGAATGGCCAACCTTGATCCCTCTGCCTTTCGCGATCGAATACTCAACCCTTATCCAATCGCGAGCTTCCCTTCTTCCTCAGTCGAACGACCCAATCACTGTGTCAATCTCCTTCGCTTCCGAACCCAGTCGCTACTACAGTCCGTTCCGACTGTGCCGCCGCCCACATTTCCGGTTCACCTGAACCAGACGCACAACCTCCCACTCCAACCCTCTCACTTCCTCTTAAGCCAAAATCTCCCGTTTCCTACGTCTGATCCACGGCTGCCGCAAAACCCGACTGCATTCCCTGTCAAACCACAGTCGAAATTCCTCTATCTGATCGAGCAAGTCGATAACCTCTCACATTCGTACCACTGCTCGATCCAATCGGCCCTCTATTCCTCACGTGATCGCAAACCCTACGATCCACACCAGGCCGAATCCACGCACGAACAAGCGTCCGGACTCCTCCATTTCGTGCAAAGCACAGTGCCGATCCACCTTCTAACCCACCTCCCGTAGCCAAACTACAACCCTCCGAACCCGTTCTTCTGTAGTTCCAAGCCGCTCATTCCCTATTCGTTCTCCCACTCATGTGATAAGAGGAAAACGTTTTTTTTAATTATTATAATCATAATTATAATTATAGTAATTATGATTATTACCCGTTCTTCTGTAGTTCCAAGCCGCTCATTCCCTATTCGTTCTCCCACTCCTGTGATAAGAGGAAAACGTTTTTTTTAATTATTATAATCATAATTATAATTATAGTAATTATGATTATTATTATTGTTTTATTTTTTTTGTTATTATCAGTGACTAATTATTTTTGAAATTTTTATTAATTATTATGATTATTTCTATAATTATTATTATTATTACTATTATTATTATTATTGTTGCGTCCTGAAAAATTCGCGGCGGTAGAGAAATATAAA